TATATCCATTCTCTAAATATGGAAAGGAAAAGTGCCTTTTGCCATATACTTGAGATTTATCGTTTACCTTCAAATTTCGCTCAACGGCCAATTCGAAATTGGACCGACTTTACAAATTACAATCAGATGTTGTAAAATCTGGGCTTGGGCCAATGGGCCTTCCTCGAATCTTGACAAACATGGGATGGGAAGAATCCCCCACCCCCGTGAGAAAGCGATGAGGAGACGGCGATCTCCGACCGAAGAGTAGTCTTGCTGTTCCAATGGAAGATACGTCCAAGTTACCGTTGCCGGAAGCTTTCCTTAGTTTCCTTAAGACTAACGGCCTCGACCCATCGATCTACACCGATTCGTATTCGCTTCCACGTTATATAAGGTACCACCTCCCTACCCCTTCTTCTTCCTCCCAATTTCCGTGTCTTGATTCGAAATTCCGGCTTTCAGATGCTCTTGTTGTTGGAAGGTTGAAACCTGGGTTTGAAGACTGTGTCCAAGAGATCGAATCCGAACTTAGCTGTAAACTCGAGAAGTTGGATTGGTTACCTGGTTTTTACTCTATTCCGCCCGATGTTCATATCGCTAGTTCCCAGGCCTATCAGCTAGGTAAGGTGAGACCTCAAACTTATCATTTACGCCTGAATTTTTTGTAATGTAGCTTCTCCTGATAGTAAATTCGCTCTTTCGACAATCGTTGGTTTCTTCTTAGGCTTGGACTCTTCAATATTTCATGCTGAAATTCTTATGTCAACTTCAACTGCTCCTTCTTTTTCCCCTCAATTTACTGAATGCGAAGGCTGCACATGTCTCATAATTGTCTGTTGGCATAAAAAAAGCTTGGGTCTTTTTTCCTTTTTGTACTCTTTCATGATGCTAGTTGTTCATGACATATGCCTTAGTTTTCCCGAAGTTTGTTTTATAGAACCCTAAGGTTTATCTCGCTTTTCGATTTCTTGGACCTTCTAGATGTACGGAATTGATGCAGCATCTGGTGCCGCTGTCTCAGCTCTGGATATATCCCCTGGAGACCATGTCCTGGATCTTTGTGCTGCTCCTGGTAATCACCTGCTTTCCCCTCTATGGTTCCAGCATTAATTTTAATCCTCTTAGCCCATGGTTAACCTGTGATGATAGGTTGATTTGTATGGTTGGTACTTGGCAGTTTAGAATCATGGAAACTTCTCATAGCACTGCTGTAGTTCTGCAAGTGCTTGAGGAAATATTTGTACACGCCTAGGGATAAGAAGAAAATCTGCTTGCCCTCTATGTCATTGTATCTGTCAGTGTTAAATGCTTTATGCTTAATGTCTTTATATCCTGGAACAATCTCAGGTGCTAAACTATGTATGATGCTGGACCTCCTCGGTGGGATGGGTTCAGCGACAGGTGTTGATGTGGCAAGGCATCGCCTAGCTGCCTGTAGAACGATGCTTCAAAAATATGGGCTAGGTGACAGGTGCCGGCTTTTTGTCGCTGACGGGACATCATTCTCAGTTGCACCTGTCAGAACTCAATCATGTAATGAGACCCAGAACCAGAAATTTTTTTTTGCAATAGGTTCAATGAAGCCTCCGAATTTATCAATATGTGTGAACCGAGATCATTCGTTATAGTAATATTCAGGTGAGTCAAAATTGGACGGTCAAGAGAAGACATTCAGGGAGTGGACGTCCAGGAGACCCTACAAAGAAAGGAAACAAGAGGCTAAAGCAAGGAAAAATTCTGTCTTGCAGTGGAATGGACAACCGGAGATTATCTTCTACGGGCGGAATTCAGGAGTTATCGGGCTAAGAAAGGAAGAACTTTTTGAATCTCTTTGTGATAATGGATACAGAAGTTGCGGGTATGACAAGGTAAATCATCTCTTTTGGTATGTGTATCTATGTTTATGGTGGTTTGTTATACAGCAGTCAACCTCTGTGAAGAAGTGGATCCTAATGCATCTAGAAACCTTGTGTGGGTGCTAACAAGTTGAGGTGGGATTTGGCAGGTTCTGGTGGATGCAGAGTGCACACATGATGGATCAATCAAGCATATCCAGAAATTTGAGCAGTGGGGTTGGGCAACGTTTGAACGTCGCGTTCTAGACGCTGAGAGGACGGATAGAGACTTGACCGCTCGGTGATATCGTGCGTCTAGCAACACCAGAAAACGCGGTCGTCGGGACAGAAGACATCGTCGGAATGTTCGTGTTGGTGGGGGTCGTGGCGGAGACGCCGTCGGTTTCGGGTTCGGTGTTCATGAACGAAAGAAAACAAGATTAAAAAATGTCAGGTTCTGATACCATGACAGGTTGCGATGAGAGAATTTTCTGGCTTTTTCTTTGCAGTTAAAGCTGCTGAGAAATGGTTTCAGATTGTTGAAAGCTGGTGGCACTCTAATATACAGCACTTGCAGGTATAAAGTCCATTTTACATTGGGGGAAATGTTGAACGAAACTAACCTGGAAAAGAAAAATACAGCTTGACACTCGCCCAGAACGAAGACGTGGTGGATCTGTTCCTTGCAGAAAATCCCTCTGCAGGTACGAATTCCCTTTCAGAACTCAGGAGATAATAACTAGGATCAGTGCGACCTATTACCAAAAAACAAAAAGATGAGAATTTCATGGCACTGGTCATTGGTAACATGAAAACCCATTCGTTTCATATGAAACGTGATAAATTTTGAAGATTTTTCATTGGGCTTTTGGCCATCAAGTAGCTGATTTTTGTGCAGAACTGGGGGAGATTGAAGCGTCGAGAGACTGGCCGTGTACAAGTGGCAGGATACCCAAAACGCTGCGTTTTGATCCTTATACCTCGGGAACCAGCGGTCTCTTCATTGCAAAGATCACAAAAGTGTAGGATCCGATGCTTAGCCAATGCAGTTGTAAAACAAAACAATTGATGGATGGATGGATGTTTCTGTTTATCACAAAAGCAATTGAGGAATATGGAATCTCACTCACTCACTCATCATGTGTCATGAAACCCACTTGGATATTACCATATTGTTGTTGTCGGCTTGGAATTAGTTCTTTTAATTATTATCACTCGAAACCCTTTAATGAAATGTTCAATGTGACAATCATTACAAGGAGGAGTATCCAACACCAGAATGCCAACGGATACCTGCCCTCGTAAATCAATCTCTCGTACAAGTCTGCGTACGAGATGGATGAAACTTACGAACTCCTTGACCATGGGAGGATAAGAGTTGAAAGGAACATATTACAAATCCCATGGTTTTTGATTTTGATCCATTAGGAGTATTTACGTAAACCTGATTCATGTTCATGTACCACTTTATATAGGATCATAATTGTAATAGCGAAGAAATGGCAAAAGCCAAAGAATGAGGGAGAAACGAAGAGGCAGAAGGGGTTCTTGCCGAACTTCCAGTTGCCAAATCCGCCAGCCATGAACCGGACAGTGCTGTCCCCTCCACCCCCGCCGCCGCCGGTGCTTTTCTTGACGATTTTAAACTGCCACTCGTTAAAAAAAGAAGCAGTCAACTCTCTATCTCATTCGAATTCATTCATTGCAAAAAAAAAAAAAATCTTACCTTTGAGAGCTGGGGCAGAAGGTGATGGTGTAATCAGCACCAGAACAAGTAAAGGTACTGGAGGAATCGTCGTAAGCGTAGCTGTAAGATTTAGGGCAAGCAGACTTGAAAACCTCGGAGTAGAAAGATGGCTTGCAAGTGTCGGGCGAACCGTAGGAGCCGCTTCAGCAGTACACTGCTGTAGTTCTGCAAGTGCTTGAGGAAATATTTGTACACGCCTAGGGATAAGAAGAAAATCTGCTTGCCCTCTATGTCATTGTATCTGTCAGTGTTAAATGCTTTATGCTTAATGTCTTTATATCCTGGAACAATCTCAGGTGCTAAACTATGTATGATGCTGGACCTCCGGCAGCTCCGTCCGCTGCTTTCAGCTCCTCCGGGCAGCTCCGGTTGAGGTCCGTTGCGCAGCCTGTGGTGGCGCATCCGCCCGAGCCACCTTTCGCTTCCACCGTCACCGGAAGGTTATATCCATCCACCATACTTACATCGTAAAAATCTTGTGACCCGAGCGTGAACTCGGCCAGAGTCGCCGGCGGTGTAGCCCCTTCTCCGTTGCACTCCACCTTTTTAATTTTTTTTTTAAAAAAAATCGTCTGTAAATGATCTCATATGTTTTGTACCATTAATATAGAAGCATGCGTTAGATAGAGCACCTGACCGGAACCGCAGTCTCCGAGAGCACAGGAGCCAAGACCGGAGGCATCGAAGGTGCAGCCGGTTCGAGCCCAGAACCGACCGGACCAACCAGGAGGAGCTGGGAGAGCGCGTAAACCGCCCTTCGCTAGCTCAAAGCCCGTGGTCTCGAGCCTCGGGCTGCCAGCGCTAGCCAGAATTCCAGGCCAGACGGTGAAATCGCACTTGTTCACCATTGTGAAGGTTGTGCCGCTCACAACTGCCACACACATTCTGTACAGCGAATCAATCAAAAAACTTGAAGAGAATAATCAATGAAAGATATCGGATACCTCTGCAGAGGAAGAAAAGAATGAAGAGAAGGAGACTAATACGGTGGCAATATTCATGGTGAGAGAAGAGAGGCATAATAGTTTCCGACATTAATTGTTTGGAGCAGAGATCAAAGCTGATGCTTTCAGACAGAAGCTGTTGGAAGATTTTTTTTTTGAGAAAAGCTAATAGAGATGGGTGATGACTTAGAAGAGTTGTCTGAATGATCAGATATGTCCCCTGCTGGGCCTGCGTATTTATAACAGGCTCCAAGACGCCACGTGTCATTATTCTCACCTCAGGATGACGTGGCCTCATGGTACTGGTTGGTCATATTCACCTCATGAGGTTTCGACACGTTGTCTGAAAAATCTCACACCCCCATTGTTTTGACGTCTAACATGGTCGCAAGTATCTTGACTATATATATATATATATATATATATATATATATATATACATATATATATGTGTGCATACGTTGAATGCGAATGGGAAAACGGCACAAGTTTATTAAGCTCTCGAGTGATCGTTGAGACTATGAATGAACTCTCGAACTTAAGAAGCTACACAAGTGGCATATATATGAATCCTTCAAGAACAAGCGATGAAGCGAGAAGCAGAAAGAGGGAAACCCCTCAAAACATCGGCTTTATCTACACAAAGACGTCGAGAATTCGTCAAGACAGTACGTGTGTCCAAAGCTACCTCAGTAGACTTCAACGTTCCACTGCTCGTTCTTCTTCAACTGCTTCTTGTAATCCAACCAATCGATCCCTACGAAATCCATCGCACAGCATATGTATATATACACACACACACGCAGAAAGAGATCAGCACGAAAGAACATGGAGAGTTTGTCATCAAGAAGATATGTTCACTTACCGTCTCGGGCAGCAAGCGAGACCATTATGTCATCAATACCCTTCTCCATTCCCTTGAGCCCACACATGTAGACAAAGGTGTTGTCCTTCTTCAGTAACTCCCAGAGCTCATCTGCGTACTGAGCCATACGCGTCTGTATGTACATTTTCTCTCCCTTTTCGTTCGTTTGCTCTCTGCTTACTGCAAAGTCCAGCCTGAAGTTTTCTGGGTTTTTCTCCTTCATCCTCTCAAACTCCTGCAGTCACCATTTGATCAAGTCCATGGTCTACTACTACTACTAAAGAATCAAATGTTTTTATGGTTCTTTAAAACATCCAAAGTGACTATCAAACAAATTTGGTTTCCACCTCTTTGTAGAGCAGTGAGCTACTTGTCGGGACCCCCAAGAACAACCATGCCAGACCATTGAACTACATCCCAATATAGAGCCTTTGTCAGATGCTTAAATCGTAGGGTAAGCTTATATTCTGAAAATGTCAAAAGAGATGTGTATTTGTTTCACCTTGTAGTCCTCGTGCTCCTCAAAGAACTTTTTCCACAAGAACGATCTGAATGGAGCGATTCCAGTTCCTGTTGCAAGCTGCAAAAGTAAAACAAAGAAGTATTCAGTGCCAATGTCTCATCTGATAATAGAAATAACATAGACCAACGACTCTTGTCATGTGGCAAACATGGTGAGGAATTGTATGATGATACCATGATGACGGTGGCATTTGGATCTTTTGGCATAAGCATTTCCTTCCCAACAGGTCCTGTGATCTTGGCTTCAGCTCCCGGTTTCAGGTCACCTGGTCAAGCAGAATTGGAAGAACAGTTAATAAAGATGAACCTGGCATCATCACAAACTTCACTCAGTTTCATCCAAAAAAAAAAGAATTGAAAAGTCTCTGGCTATTCTTCTTACACAAGAAATTTGAACAGACCCCCTTGACCAGCTCCCCATTCTCGTTGGTGTAAACAAGTCTTTTAACGCAGAGAGAAACCTGTACCAAAACCACGCAGATAAGAGACACAATCCATGGCGGAAGGACCAAACACTTTGTAACTCCATTCATTCTTATTCTTTCACAGTTTGCTCATTATGGCAAGAAGCTTACAGTCTTGGAGTCTCCAAAATCACCAATGGCGCTGCTGGCAATTGAGTATAACCTCAGCTTGTGAGGCTTCCCGTTCTTGTCTATCCCATCTGGAATTACACCAATCGATTGCCCTTCTCTGTACGGAACCTCACCTATTCTTATCATATTCAACGATTGTTAATCAAATTTGAAATCCAGGGTTGCCCTTTCTCATATCGAACGGCAGAAGAAAAACCCAAATATAAGCAGATATGCCCAGCTAGAAACTTTTGATTTGGTTCATCTAAAGCCCAATTTAAAAAATCTGAACTTTTTTAGATAGTGGAAAAGAAGAACCTTCGGTGCTGAAGACAATGTGCCAAGTTTCACCGGGAGCATCGTCGCCGGTGAGTCTGACGTTCAAGAGGCATCGACCAGTGTAAGGGTTCTTGGGCTTGAACTTGTTCACGACAATCCCTTCTTCCTGCTTCTTCGATTCCTTCTCAACCTTCACAGGCGCTTCTGTCACCTCTGTTGTCACCTGCGCCCTCACTGACACCACTCTGCCCCCAACACAAGCGTCTCTGTAACAAAGAGTACCCTGAAAACGCAGAGGGTAGACAAAACGCAAACTTTTTTGGCATGTTCCCAGAGATGATTGGAGCTTTTGATCGAAACCCAGCAAAGTAGAGCAGAAAAAACACTTGGATAAACTACCCTTTTGAGGAAAATTCCTTCATGATAGAGAATCTTAGCATTTGCAGAGGAAAAAGAACCAAACAAGTGATCAAGGCCAATAGAAGAAGACTTCTGATCAGAACCAGAGGAAAAAGTGCAACCTTTTGATAAAAAACAATACAATGGATAAAAGTTTTACCTTCCTGAGGAAAATTCTATCGGGGGAGAGAAAGGAGGCCTTGGCGGAGAGAGAAGTGGAGTTGGAGGAAGGGAAAGAGACAGCAGTACTTATGGCAGACGCCATGTTCGCCTTGATGTATTATATTATGTTTTCAGAAGAAGGAGAAGGAGAAGGAGAAGGAGAATGCCAAAGGGCCCTTTTCCTTCACTCTTGACAATGCGGGAACTCAGAAGAGAGGCCTCTACGGTGGAGAAGGCTAATAAAAAAATAAGAAAAAGAAACAGAGGGGGGGGGGATGTGAGTGGATTGTGTGAAGCCAAAATGTGAGGCTAATTTAGCAGCTGTGATGCATTGGAGGATAAGTCGTATAGAATTTGCACGACTCTGCTCATGTGGTTCATATATCTTTACCACATCGGAAACGTGGGTTGTTTGATGGGCCTATTCCCATTCATCAATGGGCCTGTTGGGCTTCACTCTTTGTAGATGCAGTTCCGTACATCGCATAAAACTTCTTAATATAATGATATCCCAGAAGAAGAAGAAAAAAATCAGAGCTTTATTAAAAAAAAAAAATTACAACTTTATACGGTTCCCTATGGATGCTTGAGTTATTTAGAAATAAAATTTTTTGAAGACGTTTCTTTTACATCAATGATATTATGAGATTGTTGTTTTGTACAGACATCAAAAAGGGTATAGACGAGAGGGATCCGAGGAACAGTAACCAAAAAAAGCTCCGACCTTTTTTTCTGTTCTTCCTTTACACAAAGTAATAGACAACAAGATTGTGGTGTGGATTCAATGGTTCCAATCTCAAAATCACAAGAAGAAAATATCAAAAGAAACCTCTGGAGCCTCTGGACTGATAGAGCTCCAGTCGGCTCTTAGCTTCAAGCAGCAGAGTCTCGAGTCTCTCGAGCTGAGACACCCAGGACTGCTTCGACGCCCACTCCAACACAGTCAAGACCTCGTCCTTGGCAAGCTGTTCGCTGTCCGGAACGTTCAAAGCTATGTTACACAGAAGCTCCAATGCCGGAATCTGGGCCACGCTCTCCCCGAAGTACGACAGCTGAACCAGATGCTTCACCCCTCCTGCTTCTATTATTGCCCTCGAGTGATCTTTGTGCAGGTAATTCCCTGTCCCCGCGAACTTCGTTAGCGCTACGGCTGCTTCCCCCGAGACTTCGGCCTCTCGATCATCCAGAAGCTTCACCAGAGGCCCAATCATCCGCGTTTCTGTCGCTCTGAATGTTCTGGCCAGGTTTCCGATCGATTTGATGCAGGGTGTGAGCAGGTCGAAATCTGCATTTTCGATGATTTTAAGCACTTGATCCACGACTGCCTTGCACGCCGGGGAATTGGGCTTGAACGCGGAGCGTCTGAGGTCGGCGTCTTGCTCGGCCACGGCAGTGATCTCCATCAACGCCATGGCGGAGTTGTATCTGACATCTTCGCTGCCCTTTTCCAACAGAACGGCGAAGCACAAGAGAGCTCTGGACTCGGTTATGCTTTTGCAGATGGCTGAATTGCCCATTGCCAGCTTCCACAGCGCTCTGGCCGCCATGGCCTTCATCTGCGATTTTGTCGCCGGGTCTTCGAGATCTCGAGCCTTGGCGGCGTTGGAGTTCTGGTGGAGGTGGTGATTAAGATGGTAGGTGGGTTTAGCACCATTGAGGTTGTGATTGACGCCGTTGGTGGTCTTATTCGCAGGGTTGGCCCTAAGGGCCATGGTGTTGACCACGACGTTGTGCATCTGATTCGGCATGTGCTTGCCCGTAGGGTGAGGAATAAGGCTCTGATCCTCCTCGAGGACATTGGGGGCAGCGGAATTAGGGTTTTCCTTGACAAGAACGACGGCGTGGTGGATGGAGGTGGCTTTGCTGGTGAAAATGGCGTATTTGCTGTGCTCTTGGACCGTCTCGAAGGCCAAATGGCCGACAAGAAGACGAATGACGTTGTGCTGAGCGAAGATGTCCTGACACTTGGGGTGATTGGCCACCAGCTCCGACGTGGCCCAAGCCACCACCGCCTGCACTTTCATCGGACCTTCCTTCAGGACCTTGGCGAGTACAGAACACGCGCCGCCGTGGATCATGTGCTCCACGCTCTCCGGGTCACGACCCAGCAACCCAAGTGCACGCGCCGCGTTCTCTTGCCCCTCCGGCTTCCCCTCCTTGAGCAGCTTCAGCAGCGGAACCACGCCTCCTTCCTCGATTATCAGCTTCCCGTAGCGGTCGTTGTCACGCGCCAGCGAAACCAGCGACGCGGCTGCGTCTGACCGGTCCTCCAGCGATCCCGTGTAGAGAATCGCGATCTGCTCCCAGATCAGGCAGAGGATCGGCTCGTTGGCCGCGATCGGAGGAAGACCCAAGTACCCGGCATCGTCCCGGTCCTCCGCTGGAGCAGATACGCGGAGGAGCCACGAGACGTCGCCGATGGAGTTCTCGAGCTGGGCGTGCATCTTCCGGAACGCCGCGGCGGGGATGATGGTGAAGACGCGCTTCATGAGGCCGTTGGCTCGGCATTTGAGGACGAGTGAGAGGGCCTTGCCGAGAACCTGCTCGGTGTCGTCGATGATCCGACGAGTAGGGCGCTCGTAGAGTTCGGAGCTGGCTCGCGCCGCCTGGCGAAGAAGACCAGCAAGCTTCTCGGTCCTAGCCTTGAGCTCGGCGCACTCCTGCTTGAAGGAGCTTGCCACTTCAGCGGCTTTGACCACCTGGTCGGCAAGCTGGATCGGCTTCGCCAGGATTTGCTTGACAATATCCGCCATGGAAACACTCGGCGCAGATCAGATCAGATCAGATCGCTGGGGATGTGAGGGTGAGAAAATAGGGGCAGCAGATTCGCAAGGCAAGGAAAGAACTTTCCGGAATTTAGGGGCAGTGGGATTGAGAATTCAAAGCGTAAGGGTGATGGAGAATCGTTGGGTTAGGGAACGAAGGTGCCATCCATGGCGGACGAATGATGGCTTTTTCACTGGAAGAGGTCAAACGCGGCTTCTTATTACCGCTGGTTTGAGAATCCCGGCGCTAATCACTACTGTCAATTGTCAAACTCTGACTTGGTACTTATATAACTCCTCTCCCTAATAACCTTCGGACATAAAAGCGACGCCATCCATAAGTCAATCTAATATTTATATTGCGTGATTACATATATATCATATTAGGCTTTACTATATTTATAATTATATTAATTTAGATTTGATAATTCAGATTAGGTAATTAAGATTTTTTTAAGATTGAATTTCATAAAATAAATATTTTTAATAATATTCAACCATCTCTCACCACACTTTTAAGTTAACAAATCATACAGATAAGATTACAAAACCGATGGATAATTTCACTTAAAAAGGAAGTGGGAAAACCGCCCTTTTTGGAGCAAAACCATTAATGAAATATACATTTATTTTAGGATCCATGTACATTGTCTGTTGCAGCACCCAGTCAGCATTCGTATGTTTCCCTCATTGTGTTGCGTTTCTGTTTATCTTTTTCCACCTAATATAACTGCAAGCAATATCTCATCATATATATATATATATATATATATATTATTTTATTTTTTGTGAGTGGGTAAAGATTTTCTCTCTAATTTAAAACTCAAATTTTCTCAAATTTTCTAAATTAGAGACAGAATAAAAACGTTTTACGTATCCGGTTGGTTGATTAACCTAAGTTGGATCTCATTATATATTTATATAATATTTGGAGTGGAGCTGGCGAATCGGGAAAACGATACGAAAGGCAGGAGATTTGGTATATGAAAATAAAAAGTAAATACCATACCAATGAATATATAACGTGGGTAGGCGAATAAAAAAGACAGCTGGCAGGCGGAATCCTTTTTTTCCTTGAAAAATTGAAAGACCATCGGAAAGGGTAAAACCACCACAAACAGCTTGAGATACCCGAATAAAAGAATGCCACGTGTCCCTTGTTTTTTGACTCCTTTATTTTTTTCTAAATAAAAAATTGAAAATAGTAAATCGGTGGTGTATCCTCAGAGATGTTGTTGGCTGGCGACCATTCATTAGGAACCTTTTTTTTTTTTGGCAAATGGAGTTTTTAAAGAACAACAACAAAAAATCCTTACAGAGATTCCCTTCGCCACCAAAAAAAAAAAAACAGACAAGTACTACCATCCTCTAATCAAAATCCCCTTTTGCCCTATGCCCGAAATCATTTCAATTTACAAAAAAATTACTCCACTGTATGACTACTTTTTCTCTAAGAGCCGAGATAAAAATGCCATCATTTTAACCGTGAATTTCACGCTCGGGCCCTTCTCCCTCAGCTAAGTAATTTTTTATGGTAAAAGTAAATTCATTTCCGAAGAGTTGGACGGCTCGGGACTTGCTGTGAACTAATAATGCTCGCTGTTCTTAGAAGTCTCCTGAACTCTCGCAGGCTTATCTTCCCATCTCTGTCAATGTCCGCTTCTTCAAGAAGCGGATCTATGGAGCCTTTTAACCCTGTGTGCTGCAGAACCAAGTCAAAAATAATAATAATAGTTTCCTTCAGTTCCAAGTGTCACTTTCCATCACCGCATTGAATGCCATCTTTTATCTTATGTGTAGTCATTGTTGGCACCTCATCAATCAGTTCAATTGTTCCAGAAGAAAAAAAAACATCAGCTTTATTGAATCTTTTGTACCGTTCGTTCTCAATTCTTCAGCAGCTTTCAATGATTTAACCCAGTTAAGTTTCAGGGTACCAAAGTTCCAGTTTTATTGAATCAAATAAAAAGGTTTTCCTGTCTGTATTGAATCCATTACTTGAGCAAAAGCATGAGAGATGAGTTAGTTACCAGTCTAAGCTCCTCGGGTGTTATGTAACCATCTTTGTCAAGGTCAAATTTCTCGAAAGCAGCTCGTGATCTAAGCTGCCATTTCTCGGAGTCGTGCTCCTCCAGTTGATGAACTTGTAGTGCGGCTGCGACAAACTCCGTGAAATCAACTAACCCGTCAGTGTTGCTATCAATCTGCATCAAGAACACAGGACAAGGACAACCAAAAAACATGAAAATTATGCAAGCAGTCTTTGATAAATGACAGATGATGCGGAAAATAAACCAATACTAACCGCTTGAAGAATCTCGACAACTCGAGAATCCTTTAGTTTCCAAGGAAGATCTTTAGCAAGCGCCTGCAAAAAAATATGCATATGAATCATCTTGCTGAATTTTAGATATAGATTCTTGGGTAAAAACAAAAAAAGACACGATCTTTGCCTGTCTCATCTCTTCAAGAGTGATGACACCATTTTTATCCACATCAATCGCATCAAACTGATCCCTGAGGCCAGCAATCTCTGCCTCGTCAAGTGTACTAGCAAGAGCCTGAAATAAGATATATTCAAGATCAGGGAATCATTCGGACCACCTTTTTTTCTATCCATTCAACAATTCTCAAGCTCCCTAACTCAGTTTACCCGCAAAGCAAACTGCTTTAGACGGCTGTACTTCACAAACTGACGCAAGTTGTTAAGCACAGATATGTCGATAGGGATCTCAGATGCGTTCCCGCCTTCTCTGACCCACGGATGTGCTGGAAAAGGCAGAAACCTCAAGAACATCAGTCTCAGATCAAGTCGAAAAGGGAAAATGACCTACGTAGTTCACCAAGAGAAGGATAATTTCTACTATTCTTCCCTACAGAAGAAAAAGGGACATACATAGGGCTTGGGCAGCTGTTAGTCGTGTTCGTGGGTCTTTTACAAGCAACTTCTTAACAAAATCTTTCGCGCTTTCACTTATAGTAGGCCATGGTTTGCGATTGAAGTCAGGTTTTTTCCTCAAGACCTGCACAGATATATTAAAAGATCAGCTAGAATTCATTAAAAGGCAGAGCATGCTAAACTTAGAGGAGCACGGCAATATCTAGACAAAGCATATTTAGACTACACCTCCTTAAATATACCGTCTTCCGTCCTATCCCAGAAGGGGCGTCTCCCACAAAGCAAAATGTATGTAATTACACCGCAAATGGAGTTTTTAAAGAACAACAACAAAAAATCCTTACAGAGATTCCCTTCGCCACCAAAAAAAAAAAAACAGACAAGTACTACCATCCTCTAATCAAAATCCCCTTTTGCCCTATGCCCGAAATCATTTCAATTTACAAAAAAATTACTCCACTGTATGACTACTTTTTCTCTAAGAGCCGAGATAAAAATGCCATCATTTTAACCGTGAATTTCACGCTCGGGCCCTTCTCCCTCAGCTAAGTAATTTTTTATGGTAAAAGTAAATTCATTTCCGAAGAGTTGGACGGCTCGGGACTTGCTGTGAACTAATAATGCTCGCTGTTCTTAGAAGTCTCCTGAACTCTCGCAGGCTTATCTTCCCATCTCTGTCAATGTCCGCTTCTTCAAGAAGCGGATCTATGGAGCCTTTTAACCCTGTGTGCTGCAGAACCAAGTCAAAAATAATAATAATAGTTTCCTTCAGTTCCAAGTGTCACTTTCCATCACCGCATTGAATGCCATCTTTTATCTTATGTGTAGTCATTGTTGGCACCTCATCAATCAGTTCAATTGTTCCAGAAGAAAAAAAAACATCAGCTTTATTGAATCTTTTGTACCGTTCGTTCTCAATTCTTCAGCAGCTTTCAATGATTTAACCCAGTTAAGTTTCAGGGTACCAAAGTTCCAGTTTTATTGAATCAAATAAAAAGGTTTTCCTGTCTGTATTGAATCCATTACTTGAGCAAAAGCATGAGAGATGAGTTAGTTACCAGTCTAAGCTCCTCGGGTGTTATGTAACCATCTTTGTCAAGGTCAAATTTCTCGAAAGCAGCTCGTGATCTAAGCTGCCATTTCTCGGAGTCGTGCTCCTCCAGTTGATGAACTTGTAGTGCGGCTGCGACAAACTCCGTGAAATCAACTAACCCGTCAGTGTTGCTATCAATCTGCATCAAGAACACAGGACAAGGACAACCAAAAAACATGAAAATTATGCAAGCAGTCTTTGATAAATGACAGATGATGCGGAAAATAAACCAATACTAACCGCTTGAAGAATCTCGACAACTCGAGAATCCTTTAGTTTCCAAGGAAGATCTTTAGCAAGCGCCTGCAAAAAAATATGCATATGAATCATCTTGCTGAATTTTAGATATAGATTCTTGGGTAAAAACAAAAAAAGACACGATCTTTGCCTGTCTCATCTCTTCAAGAGTGATGACACCATTTTTATCCACATCAATCGCATCAAACTGATCCCTGAGGCCAGCAATCTCTGCCTCGTCAAGTGTACTAGCAAGAGCCTGAAATAAGATATATTCAAGATCAGGGAATCATTCGGACCACCTTTTTTTCTATCCATTCAACAATTCTCAAGCTCCCTAACTCAGTTTACCCGCAAAGCAAACTGCTTTAGACGGCTGTACTTCACAAACTGACGCAAGTTGTTAAGCACAGATATGTCGATAGGGATCTCAGATGCGTTCCCGCCTTCTCTGACCCACGGATGTGCTGGAAAAGGCAGAAACCTCAAGAACATCAGTCTCAGATCAAGTCGAAAAGGGAAAATGACCTACGTAGTTCACCAAGAGAAGGATAATTTCTACTATTCTTCCCTACAGAAGAAAAAGGGACATACATAGGGCTTGGGCAGCTGTTAGTCGTGTTCGTGGGTCTTTTACAAGCAACTTCTTAACAAAATCTTTCGCGCTTTCACTTATAGTAGGCCATGGTTTGCGATTGAAGTCAGGTTTTTTCCTCAAGACCTGCACAGATATATTAAAAGATCAGCTAGAATTCATTAAAAGGCAGAGCATGCTAAACTTAGAGGAGCACGGCAATATCTAGACAAAGCATATTTAGACTACACCTCCTTAAATATACCGTCTTCCGTCCTATCCCAGAAGGGGCGTCTCCCACAAAGCAAAATGTATGTAATTACACCAATGCTCCAAACATCTGATTCAGGCCCTGATCTACGCTTCAGTACTTCGGGAGCAACGTAATAGGCACTACCCACAATGTCATGGAACCTTTTCCCTGTGAACATTGATAATTTTATCCAATGAGTTTCAAGGTAGAAGTAAACACAAAACTGCTGGTTTTACCCAAGATTGGGTAGCTCAACCAGTAAGGAAGGGAACAAAGCTCTTTTCCAATCCGGGTTCGAATCTTCACTTAGAGAGGGGGATTTACATTGTCGGACCAAAGACCTGGTAAACTTTCATATTATCAAAAAAAAACTGTTGGTTTTGAATTATTTATAAATGCTACTAACCTGGTTTTATGAAGTTCGACAAACCAAAATCTGTGGCCTTCACAGGCGAATCCACTTTTGCAGATTTGAACAAAAAATTCTGCATGCAAAGAGCCGGGAAATAGGGAAGATCATTACCCACAAGTAGCCGATACAGAACCTCCTACAGTATTCCATGTGAGTATTACCTCTGGCTTCATGTCTCTATGTTCTAAACCGTGTAAATGGTATTCCGCAGCGACTTTGAGCATCTGCCTTACGACAACTGCTGCATCTTTCTCAGAGTATCGGCTATCTTTCCTGAAATAAGAGACAAATCCATTGAGCGTATGCATAATGTGGTGTATTATGACTACAATAAGAAACCAGTGAGCTGAGAGATGCTAACTTGGCCAATATCCGATCCAGCAACTCTCCCCCCTCGCATAGCCTAGAGAGAACGAGAATCTCATGCATGTCATTACACTCCATAAGTTAAACTGTCTTGAACAACATGAGAGAAGTGAATCACAAAGGCATGGAATGACAAAGAGTTCATAGACATGAGGAGAAAACTATTCTAAGAAGATGCATCACAGGAGTTCGGGAGACTTACTCCATGACTATATACACAAAGTTTTCATCCTCAAAGGCATTGTAAAACTGTACAACGTTCTCGTGGCCTGAGAGCGCTTTCAGTATCTGAACCTCTCGTTTCACATCCTCCACGGCAATGGGAAGAGCCATCTGCGAACACAAACGTCAAGCGACCAAGAACAACAATGCGATGAGCCCTTGCAATGGAATCGTAATGACATTCCCGACGCCAGGTTGAGAATACCGAGAATCAATTCGGTGGTGTAAAAGAAGTATCAGCATCCCATTTGAAACAAATCATAAAAGTTTGCCATGAATCCATGGTAAGGACGGAAGCAGGGAGAGCAGAGAAAAATGCATATCTTAAATATCGATCATTTCAAAGGTTCGGATTGATCCAGATAGCGAGAAGAAGGGAAAATGCAAAGGCAAGTCCCTCAGAAACCCCGAAATCTGCAAACCCTAATCATCGTCAGTAACAGTACCTTGCTCTTGTCGAGTCTCTTAACCGCGACTCGATCTCCATAGGCCTTGTCGGTAGCAACGTAGGTGTAGCCGAACTGGCCGTGACCCAACAACTTCCCGATCGTGTAGTGCTCGTGGAAATCTTTGGCGTAGCCGAAGTCGATACGTTTGCCGCACGGGATCACTCCACACCTCCGCTTAGTGCACGCTTTCTCGTTGGCATTGGGTTGCCGATGTTTGTTCTTCGCCGCAGATTTAGGATTCTTGTTTCTCCTGCGATTATGATCGTTCGCATTGGTACGGCTGGCGTCGCTGCTGTTGCCACTGACTCTAATGGCAGAGAAACACACACCCATGGTTTCACGGAGAGAACCAAAACAAAAAAAACAATGTAAGGTTACAGTAGTCGAGGATGGATTTGGACAAGAAGAGAGACGAAGATCAATAGGAAAGGAGAGACGAGAATAACATATGAAGGATTCGGAGGTCGAGTTGGTCAAAACCAGAGCGAGTATCGAAGGAAAGACCGTTTGTTCCTTTCCTTCTTTTTTTTTTTTTTTTTGGATTCTTTGAAATATTCATACCATAAATGTGTGAAACAATTTATTCTAAGCACCGCGCCTATGCAAACAGTGTAATAATGTTATAATATGGATCTCGAGATATTAAAAAAAAGGGGGGGGGGGAACGTGAAGGTGTAAAGACATCAGCATCGCGCATGGGAACTGCCGTTTTAAATTTCCATCTGCTGGAAACATGTGTAAGTTATGTTGTTTGGCCTCTTCCCCGACTTTAAAATTTTTTTAATGTTCTTTTGGAGTAACGTTTACGTTTCCTTACCATCATTTTACACGTGCTATTCTTATTATTATTGTGTTAAGAGGCTCTGAGGCCCAAACATAATATTACAAGTGCGGTGAAGTTTATTAAGCCCGATAACAAACAAATAGACTGTTATCCTAAGCCCAAAGATATTTTCTTAAGCCCAATAAGAGTCACGTCCCATCCCTTCTCATCGCACACTGGTAAGAGCCCTATGACGTGGAATCTCATTCTGGTATGGCTGCTAGATTGGGTACAAATATCCGAAAATCGGGTATTGTCAGATATTCGTTTTGAAGATATCCGATTTTAGGATATTCAAAATTTTTAAATTCAAATCCAAATCTAGATTTTTCAATATCCGTGAATCCGAATTCAAATCCGAATAATAAAATTTTTAAAATCGGATATCCACGGATACCCAACTAGTATGATTATAAATAATTATATCTTATATTTATATCATATTTTTATAAAATATATCATTTTTAGATTAAATAATCTTATATTTTTTAATATTATCTCAAAAACTAAATTTATTATTATTTATTTCTTATTATCTCATATTTTTGTCGTAATTCATCTACTTTTTATAAAAATATCTTCATTCTTTGAAATTTTTTTATATAAATATTATTATTTTTTCTTAAATAAATCCGGATATCCGCGAGTATTCGGATAATCGTAAATCTCAAACCCCATATACAAATCTTATAATTAAATATCCGAATTTTTCGAATCCAAATCTAAATACCTTAATTTTTTCGAGTATCCGATCTATATCCATGTCTACCTCTAATGGCTGGTAGAACTTGATGCAATTAATTTCATAAAACCAAACTCTTCAAATAATTAATGCTACCACTGGCCGACAAGAGGGTCGTCCGTCTTCTACAGTCCATACTTCATGACATTTATGGCAGTAAACGTAACGAGATGACAGGGCCAAGGAACATGAAAGGAATGGAAGCTAAGCAAGGATCTGATCAAGAGGCTTGGCTTCAAGCTTATCCTTGTGGACATGGGCATCGTCTTGAGCCTGTTTTTCCCTGGCGAGCTTCTTGAGGCGGGCGAGCTCGAGGTCTCGGGCCATCTTACGACGGTACATCTCGGAGAAGGTGATGGGTTCGTCGAGGATGGGTTTCTCTCCATCCCTGATGCTGAGAGGGTAGACCGTGGCGTCTGGGGCCGGGTTCTGGAATGTGGCTATGGACAGTCTGCTCGTGTTCGAGTTCACCACCGCCTGGTGGTCCGCGTTCTTGAACCTCCCGTTGCTCAGATACTTTCCCCGCCATCCATTTTTTATACCCAAAAAAAAAAATCAGGGCAAACATATATGCAGAGATATAATTCACATAATCCTGCTGGGTTTAATGTGAATAATTCACCATGATTATGTGGATAACAATCATGATCCTGGTCAATATTTGGATGAAAAAGACAAATCATATTCAATACTCAGTGTTCACTCCAAATGTTTCAACCATGTTTAATTACCCATCATATACATATACATATATATATTGTCATTCAATTCTAAGGCTAGGCGGTCTAAGATGCATAATTAGAATGCTAAAATGCGAATGGAAATTTTAATATGCTTTTTTAAATTCTAAATTTGAAGTATGGAAAGAATTAACTGATTATGCCACGAAATGAAGAGATATATATAGAGAGAGAGACTGACGTGGCCATGGTCGCCGAGGTTGACGACGAAGGCGCCGGGGACGGGCTGAACGGTGATCCAGGTGCGGCCGTCGTCCCTGGTGGCCTGCAAGCCGCCGACCTGGTCCTGAAGGAGGAGCGTGATAGTTCCAGGGTCAGTGTGGCGCTTGAGGCCGAGGGTGAGGTCCGGCTGAGGGCATTTCGGGTAATAGTTAACCACCACTTTCTGGTCCATATCCACACACGCCTTCGTCAGCGCCTCCTTCTCCAGCCCCATCGCTTCCGACAACACCTCCAAGAGCTTGCATGCTAATCCCATCAGCTTCTCGCTGTACTCCTCCGTTGTCTTCACCCATCCCTCCGGCTTGTCCGGCCACCGCGAATAGTCTCTGTTCCTCACCGGGTACGAGAAGTACGTCACTATCTCCCTCCAGTCCTGCACTGCCTCTCCCTGCCCCACACACGATTCCGGACGAATTCATTCACCAAAATAAACACCGAATCCCTGGGAATCCGTAGCTAGGTGTTCAATTGGCGTTACCTGGAGGTGACTGGAGACGATAAAGCCGCCTTTCTTGCCTCCGGACATGTCGAAGCGGAGCTTCTCCTCGGGAGAGAGGGCGAAGAACTCGCGAGCCAGACGAGTCATCTCATCCACGAGCTCGGAGTCGACGCCGTGATCAACCACCTGGAAGATGCCCCAGTTCTCACAGGCCTCCACGATCTTCCGGCAGATCCCATCCCTCTTCCCGCCGACATCGTCGATACCGGCGAGAGATATCACCGGAATCTCGTCGCTGAAATCGTTGTAGGCAACCTTCGGACGCTCGTCCTCGTCGCGAACGAACCTGGCGTTGAGCTTGGTCTCACCTGCGAGCTCCGTCAGAGTTCCGGGGGCCATCAGCACGATCAAAGCTTCGAATCAGACTGTATCTACTCGGAGAAGGTGAGAGTGGGAGTTCGAATGAAGGGAGAGTATATAAGGGGAAGAGGGGGGTGTGGTAGCTGCGGCATT